CCCCCGCCCCTCCAGCGCAGTCGCGCTGAAGTTCACACCGGCTTCCATGTGCTTCACGACGTTCTCCCCGAAACCGTTCCGGCTCGGAGCTGTGAAAGGCCGGAGTTCGCTTGCCGCCGTCCCCGCGAGCCCCCCCTTCGATCTGCTACCATCCGCGCACGCTAGCCCGGCGATACCATTGCAGACCAAAACGTCTGGGTGAGGCCCGTAAAGGCTGCAGCACTCGAGGATGCTCCGCCCACACAGCCGGAAGAAGGCCAAGCAAACCTTTCGCCATGACTCCTCGCTGAGGAGGGGAGCGGCCCCCGGCGAGAAGAGCCCCCGGACCGCCTTCTGTGCACTGATCAGGGCGCTGAACGCTGATCCTATCCCTTGAACCGAACGGAGCAGGAGCTGGCAAGTCTCTTGCCTGACGATGATGGCTCTGCTCCACGCGTACAGGCCAAGCGCTTCCCCGTTGAAGTGGACGGTGTGCTTCAACGGGCATCCGCAGCAATAGACCCGAACCTTGACCTGCAAGGATGTGCGCGCTTAGCCAACGTCCGTCCAGGTTCTGTCATCTATATTTTTTAAAATTAAAAACAATATTATAATGTTTATTATATGTGTCTCTGATGCAAAACCTGGACAAGATTTCGAAGGCAAAAATGAAGCCCAAGAATGCATTCGGATCGCCGTCCAGTTGTTGACAAAGAGCGCGCTCGAGTCGGCGGTCCAGTTTTTGCCAAAGAGTGCGCATTCAAGTCCCCGTCCACGTTCTGTCATCTATATATATGTGTCTCTGATGCAAAACCTGGACAAGATTCAGGTTTGCCGTCTCAGGTAGCCGTCCAGTTTTGCTCAGCGAGTTGACCGGACACGTGGCAACGCCTCGTGCGGACACATTGGCAGGCACCCTCACCTCAAGCTGAAAGGCTCTCAATCTTAAAGCTGCAGAAAGAACAAGCACCTTAACTTTGATCTGGCAAAAGCTTGCATCACGTACCTCTTGCGACCAGCGCAGTGAATGCACGCATGCGCTCTGCAGCAACGCTTGCCACGCGGTACCACATGGAGCCAGTCCGGGCTTTGGGCAAGGTGCAGACAAGCACCCCGCGGCGCTCAGCTCCTCGAAGTCCCTCTGCACGAGCTCGCTCACTCTCACGGGCCGCCGCAGCGACGTCACCAGCGGATCGTGCACCTCGAAGCTGTCAGTCGGCCGGACCAGCTTAGGGACCTCGAGCTGCACACCTTTCGCGTCCAGAGGCAGCACCGGAGCCCAGAGCGGACTCCCGGCAACATGGGGGCAAGCCGAAGCTGGGCATACGCAGCTTACGCACACTCTGATTACGCTGCTCATTGCGTCCCTTCCGTCCCCTCCACCCAACGCCTGCGGCGCAGCGTGCGCAGGCACAACCTCTTCCTTTTCAGCTTGCAGCGCCCCCGTTCCCGTCAATTGCCCACCTTCCCGCTCTGGTTGAGCTGCCCAAAAAGCTTTAGACCTCTTCGGTCCCCGGTTCTGAGAAACTCGGTCCTCCCGGCTCCTGTCTTCCTCTCTTCCCCCCGGCCTCGCGCGCGTCAGTCCCGACTTGGCAGCACCCGATCTCGCAAGTCCCCCGCTCGAAATCTGCCCCTCCGAAGAGCTGCTGGTGCTGCTTACAGAAGCACGATGCCCCCTTGCAGCTTGCCTCATGAGGCTGGCCCACGAGAAGCTCCTTCAGGTACCGTTCGACCGAAGACAGGTCGGACGACCCTTCTGCTGAGCCTCCCTCTTTCGACTCCAGCGCCCGTTCCCTCTCCTCCTTCCGGTCCGTTTCTAGCAACCAGGCACGTGCTCTTGCCAGCTGGTCATCGGAGAACAAGCAGCCGCTCACTCGCTCGATGCCTCTGCCTGGATTCCGGAGAGCGTCTTTGACAGCGCGTATGTGGTCGCAGTCTCCCGACGTGCTGCAACCCGACTGCTTGCCCTGGCAGTACCACGCCTCCCCCGCGCCCTCATCCTTGTGCACCATCGTCCGCTTGGGAGAAGGGGAAGCTGCGTTCCAGTAGACGCCAAAGACCCTTTCAGCCCCTCTGCTGCACGGAACCTCGATAACCCGCCTGCCCTTCTGGAGCGCAACGTGGCTGGCTTGCTGGCGCGACCCCAAAGCCGCGAGCGCCAACTTGTGGACGCATGGAGCATCCGGACCCAGGCGCCCGCGGTCGCAGGTGCAGCTGGACTTCCCAAGGGTGTTCCAATGGACCGTTTCGAGCAGGGCTGTGGACTTGCTTGGTCGTCCAAGGGGCTTTGGCCTGGCATCGTTGTGGTTCCAGACGGTCATGAGGTAGGCCAGGCCAGGGGGAACCTTCTCTCCCCGTTCAGAACCGCCCCCCAGCTCATAGATTGAGCACGTTCCGTTCTAAACGCCAGCAAGGAACCTCGTCGCTTGAGAGGTGAGAGAAGAAACTGCCGCGCCATCGGCATGACAGCGCTCCTTGCTGTCTGAAGACTCGGCGCCTGATGTGGAGGGGTCTTCCTGCGATGGACAAATTGTGATCATCTTCAAATCAATATTTGGAGTGAGCCACCGCCAATCAAGCGTGAGCTAACAAGTGAGAAAGGCGCAGAAGGTACTGACCGAAGGGCACAATCCTCACGAGTTTGCAATCATACTGGACTTTCTGGCCACAAAAGCAGTGTAAAAGCTCTTGAATTACTCAATTGCAATCAGTTTCTTGCATTTGAGAGGACAATTAACAATTTAGCTTGCTCTTTTGTACAGTTATTAGGTGGTGGAAGCTTGACACCTCTGGCACCTTTTATATATATTAGTAAAAGTATATACACTACACAATTGCACTGCACAACTTTAACGGCGTGGCACCTTGGCACCTTGGACACCTCATTTTCAATCATGGAACTTTCATTCATAAAAAACCTGAACGAAGCAAAAACAAGAGGTGGGGGTGTCCAGGGTGCCATCCAAAAATGAGACCATTGGCAGGGCGCGGCAGTTTCTGAGGGGCTCAACACCAGATCAGAACCTCACTGCACATTGAATAACTCACGTTTGCGCTTGACGTCAACTTGCGCTTGACGTTTGCTCCAGCAGTTCTCCCCCTGTTGAGCGCGCTCTCTGCAGCGGATTTGGCTACCTTGCCTGTAACTGACTGTCTGCTCAACGCATCCCGCACCACCAATCTCTCTATGCAAGTGCTTGTAAGCTCTTTGACCTGCTTCCAGGGAGTCCCCTTCGATTCACGCTTGAACCACGTCTCACTGGTTGCTTGCTTCTGTGTCACGATTACTGAGGTCTCACTTACATGAACAATGCCAATCAAGTGGTCCACGCAAGAAAGACACAAAGGCTGCACGTGTTGCTTGCACTTAACGGCTGACGAGATGGCAAACCCAAAATACTTATGAGACTTGCGGAAAGTGATCTTTTGTGTCGCTTCTTGCCCACTCTTGACTAGCAAGGGCTGCTTGCATAACACGCACTTGCTAGCTACAGGCGTTTCGCTGAACAGAAGGGCAGGATCAACAATGTATCGACCAGTCTGCAAACTCTTCTGGTCATCAAACCCTAGGTTGAGAGCTGGGCGAACCCTCTGCTGAGATGGCATGGTCCCTGGTGCATTGCATTGGCTCGGGTTGTAGTCGCCGCCTACCACTTGGATCTGAAGTTAAGACTCGGAAGAGGCTCGAAGTACGAATATCCAATTCAAGTTTTGTGGGAATTTATACCTCACTTTTTGGGAACCAGTCTGGCCTTCATCATAGTATGACACTCGACTGCTCGACTGCTCGACTGCTGCCTGCTATTCAGCTATACCACGTAGTTTTTTAAATTGTTCTCGTGTTTAAAGCGTGCAACGTGGGTCGTTTCCGAGCGGTTTTATGAGCGGTTATATCACGTGGGTACCCGGCCGGTGTAAAACTTTCCCCGGTTTTCGGGATCGCTGCCCGTCTCGACCTCAGGGGTGCCGTACCTGAATTCCTCTACGGCACCAGCTTCCTAAATAACGTCAAAGTGCCGGAAATTTAGCCTTTAGCGCGCAAAGACCGTCCGATCTGGCAGGTGATATTTGCGACGAATCTCGGCCGTCTATTTTATGCCAACGATCAGTTGGTGCCCCCGGGCAAATGCGGCCCTACGTTGACAGATTGTTAGACGGGCAGCTTGTCACGGCACCCGCAGGCCGTGCTCAGCGAAGCAAACGTCACTGGTTCAACCACCACCGGGGGTATAAATAGTGCTGGTTACCAGCTTTGCCATAATCACCTTTCGCAACTTGAAAATTGCGACGGGCGCATTGGGGCGCGCAACACTTACAACAAGGCCAGCAGAAAAACAGGCCGTTTCTTTCCGTTTGAGCGGCGGTTTCGACCTGGCCTCGCTCTGTTGACTAAAGTCGAGCGATAGAAAGAAAGACCGCCGAAAACAGCGAAGTAATGCTTCTGTTTTCAGATTTATAAGCTCAAATTTCCATAAGTTGGAAGCATGCGCCTTCGGGCCGAAATTTGAATTCCGGTGGCCGTTGGCGAGAATGACAGCCGGTTTGCCCCAAGTTATACCCCCGGTGGTGGTTTAAGGGTCCAGCAAGATGATGACAAAATGGGAATGGTCCGCGGGACGACAGCATTTGGCCACTCCCGATCCCGTATGGCCCATAGCCTATGCGGAGTTGGAGTGGCCGGGGCGGAGTTGGGTGGGAATGCAAGGTCGCGCCAACTGCCAAGCGGCGGCCCCGGCGGCCGCGCGTCCGGCTGACGAGGTTCAGCTAGAGGGTTTGGACTTTAGAGCCCTTTTGCCTCACTGTGGAGAGGTGCGGTACCCCCCTTCATTGAAATTCATCGTCGCAACATTAAGATACCGTACTTTATGGTACGTACCTCCAGGGGTATATCCAAAGTCGGTAGTGCTCGGTATCTGTGGAAAACCACGTGGGCTTAGACTCTTCCCGTGGAAGGGGGATCGCTACTCGCCAGTCACAGCAGAATGGCCGGCCACGCAGCCAGAGCCAAGTTGCACCTTGTTTCAACAGACCTTTTCCCCATTCTGATCTATTGTAATCTCGATTAGCCTTGTGCTTTGTGCTTCGTGCTTTTGACGGTGGTGACTTTGAATATGAGCTGGCTGCGGCGGGGGCGGGCCCAGGAGGGCGCCTACTTCCGCCAGGAGACAGAGTTTGCTGCCGCCAGACTGCGACGAGAACTGAAAGAAAAGGGATTGTTGGTCGAGAGCACGCCGAGGCGGAAGGTGGCATGGGAGGACGGGGCCTCTGAAATTCTGCCGGAAATCTTGCAGGTGTGTCCACTAAGGTGGTGGTTTATTGGATATAGCAATGCCGTGTTCCTGATCGTCGCTCAATACATGCAGTGGTGGTGTTGAGACACCTTGCTAAAGTGGTCAAGTAACCTAGCCTATCACTGGAATTTTGGTTGCATGAGAAAGTTATCTATAGCTATTGGCTGGTACATCTGCACAGATTTGGCATGAGAAATACAGCTGAGTTGTCTGAGTGCCTTCAAATCAAGTGAACAGCAAGGGCCGGGGGTCCTCATGTTGGGATTGGTGGTGGTGTGGGCAACCATAATGGATACAGTCACAATTGACCAAATTTGGTTAGAGTGCTCGTCTTCCACTTCCGGTCAACTGCCCTCTAACCAGGTTGGTCAAGGAAGAGTATGTTCTGTAACTTGACTTAGATGGCTGGACAGTTCTTTGAGCACTAAGTGCAACAGAAGGACCTCCATCTGAGAAGCGGACACCTTGAAGGCTGCGGGACACTTTACATAGTTAGCTCTGCGGCACTGATCATACTCAGGGCAGATAGAGGCATCTCAGAAAATGCCCCAGTTATATTTGTCGTCTCGATTGGAGATTAAGAGTCAACTTTTTCTCAAAAGTAGAAAGCAGCTGGTGAGGGTTGATGTCTTGCAGTGTTTTCGTACAGCGCTTGCAAACGCTTCATATGCAAAAACCCCTGCAGGGGTTTTGTCCACTCATCATGGAAACTTAGCGTCTCTCAAAAAAAAATTAAGAAAGGGTTGTTTCTGCTTGATGACAGGATTCAAGCAATCAGATGTGGCAATCATGCGGATTTGAAAGCAGAGCCTCCTCTGGACTGAATCAGTGTCAACGTTAACTTTGGAAGATGTGCAAATCTGGATACACTTTGCAATTCCAGAGAGGCGCTTTGATTTGCAGAACGAACTGCCCCTGAGTGGGGGTGCAAGCGGGGAAGCTCCTGAGGTTCGGAGGACCAAGGTCATCTCCCCTTCTTCCGCATCTAATCCCGTTTTTAATACGTCCAATTCGGCCCTTGACCACTTCAGCCGGAGCCTGCCCCAAACCACGCTCGGGCGAGGAAGGTGCGTGGACCTCTAAGGCGGTGTTGGTGCTGTTGTAAGGGGGTAAAAGGCCACCTGAATCTGAGGTCTGATCCGTTTTCTGTGGACCCAGGGTCATCTTGGATTAGGATTCTGATCGGCCTGGGATCTTGTGTGGTTTCTTAGCGGAAGCTGGGCTTTCTCGCTTACATTTTCGTCGAGTTTGTGAGCCTGGCCCTAAATTCAAGGCCTATTTCGGAGAACGTTCTCTTGTAATTCCAAAGAATTGCAGCTTGTTTCCCGTCGGTTCCTTACTTCAGAGCGGCTTCTCGTTTTTAAGCCGAACATGCCTTTTCAAGAAGGATTGAGAAGTTGACCACGGCGAAATCCGTAGGTTTCTGTGAACAAGAGAGACAGGACGCCGTTCCTACTTTCTGACCCCTCTCCCCCTTCTCAGGATACTCAAGATCGATCGACTTTGATTATTTCTCTTATCAATCTGATCACAGTCGCCTTGCGATTTCAGCTTCAATACACGTCACCCTGCCAGTCCGCAGGATTTTAAATACCTCCTCATGGTACGCTTTGTCTGCAGATGGAATTTGGAAGCCCTAAAACCTCAGGACCAGGGAAAGGCAATCAGCGCGTATGAACGGCGGGCGATGCGGTCCACGCCAGCGCAGCGAAAACAAGCCGAGCTTCTGGCCAAGGGCTATTTTCAGAGTAAGACACAGCATGACCTTTGCGCTCCTTTCTATGATCGGATTTTTGAAGCAAAATAGTTTTTTTGAAGCTTCTCCGTTCTGAAGCCATTCGGCGAGTCAGCATCACAGTTTATTCGGGGCTTCTTTCTTAAAGTTCTTACGACGTCTTTCTGCAGTGCATCTACTGTGTGTCTTTACACCGTTAAGTCAGAAGTGAGCAAAGCTTTGCAAGCGTCTCCGTATCCCAGCGCTTTTTGCCAGAAAGGTATAGAGGACCACCTCGCTTGCAGGGGCCTTAGTCCAGCATACGAGCAGTCCAAGGACTGACGCACTGTGTCTTCGAACATTTTATGCAAGAATACTAATTTAAGAATGCTTCTCAGTGAATGTCGCAGGCAGGGCATCGACAATGCCTTCGTTCATTTGTCACGATACGGCAACTTCTCCTGGCATTCTCGAATTTCCGCCTTTGTAAAGGTTCTTTCGCTGTCGGCTCTTGTCAAGCATTTCCCCGCTCGTTACATGTGCAGTAGTCAAGGGTTTCGTGTTGGGTTCTGCCATAGTCTTTGGCGGAGGAGTTCTTGCGGCGGCCCTCGTGGTGAAAGCGATGGGGGCGAAGCAGGTGAGACTCAGCGCTGATCTTTTTTCTCTTCCACCCAAGTACTCTCGTAATCGGTTCTAGTTCTTCGTCCTCCGTATTCAAGAGCCGTCCGAGTCTCGTACCTTTCTCTTATATGCTTCCTATGTCCGACCGACATGTCCAGCCCAAATACATGTTAGAAAGCCGTTCGCAACAGTGCAAAAAATCTTCAAACCCGTCCGAGATGTTCCGAAGTTGGAAGGAAGGACACTCGTTCGAAGCTCGAGCGCCATAACGATTGAGTCAAAGTGCTTGCTGGTGTCCGAAGCTTGTCTTGCTGAACGTCGTTCTACCTTTTTCTCACCAGAAATGGTCTCTTGTAGTGCATGCGGAATGGAGTACTTCTGGTGCTGCTACGGCAAGCGGAGTACTGCCTCGGCCTCCGGATCCCAGAATGTTCTTTTTCAACAGTCCGGATGCCCCCCGAAGAATCGAACGAAAGTCGATCCCTAGAAGCATTTTGGAGGCTGTAGTTTCGAATGACAGTCCCTTATCGGGATGTCCACAGTTCTTCACTCCGGTCATCTAAGCAATGCAAAGGGTGATGGCTTCGTCTCGCCGCAACGGTTGTGCGACAAGGAGAAGCAGACCTGACTCACAACGTGCACTGTGACTGTTTGTTTCCAAGTCACTGATCTCGGCCGTGATTGAGGCTGCAGCTGAGTGACATTCCCGAGCGGGGGCGTGACTACATGCAGCCACGAATTGACGCCTTCAAGGAGCGCTTCACTCCCTTCAAGGCGTGGGTGCGTCAATTTAAGCTTCTGCTTTTGTCTCGGTTTTGATCTCCGTTCTGAGAGTTTGCATCTGGTCGTTTCCAGGTTTCGTTTTGCTTTCTGCTCTTTCAGGCCTTTAGAACCTTGCTTCCGCTGCCTAGGACATAGTTTTGCTAGGTTAAGATTGTCCGAGGAAAGAGGATTGTGCAGACGACCATAATTTGTGGACCTTTCAGTGAAAGCGGCCAAATTTGCATCCGGCAAAATCGAGTTAGAGGGTATGCTTAGTGCTTTCCATTTGTCTACGTCGAAGCGGATTGAAAGTATGAGAAGAGTTGTAAAACATGTAGTCTGCATGTTCTGACGGCTGGTCTTGGGCTCCGTTGCAGATCCGAGAGAAGAGCAGCGGCTGGAAACTAGAGGAGCGACGCAAGCAAGCGTTGGGTTCACCTTTTGCAAAAGGGCTTGGGGTGCCACAGTCGGACACGGGCACTCCCCGCCTGGGGAGCTCGCCCGAGTCAGCGGAAGGCAGGGGATGAGATAGGGCAAGAGTCGGTGTTTTTGTACATAGTATAAAGGAGAGATTATCTAGGTTTCAAGCTTGAAACCGGGCTTGATTCGAATCATGTCATTCTGTCTCTTACAGTAGCTTCGAAGGGTTGCACTCCGATGGCTTAGCACCAAAGCATAGAACTGCGGGGCTCAATTCAATTGTACAGAGTTGCTTCGAACTGTAGCGATTTATGCTGGCATCTATTCTGCCGGGCCACAGCTGTTCAAGGCTGCCGCCGTTCTCGAATGCGTCAGTGCTCTGCAAACTTATGTGTAGAAAGACCTATCCAGCACTTCTTTGAATCGCTCACTTTTGCAACTCTTGCAGCCGCCCCGAGCACACAAATATAGGCTTTACACTAAACAAGGGCAGCGCGCCGGTATAATTCCTTACACCGATGGACCTCATGATGGTATTATTGTACGTACTTTCCGTCCTGAGCTTCCTTTGAATTGTGGCACCGCGTACGATGCGACTGTTCTCCGACATATGGGGATGTAATTGCATGGCCCCTCACCAAATGCTGCATGCTGCAGATCTTTAGCTAGAAGCATGTTGGATGCGCACGGCTATACTTTTAAGGACGTCTTGCTGCTTCACGGAATTGGACTTCATGGTGTCGAGGCGGCAGCCTGACGCAGTCCGACTCGTATGTAGGTAGGTAGGTATGGCAAGAGCCGGAGTCTCAACTTCTCTTATTGGAGGACCACCGTCTCTCAAGACTGACGCCAGGTACGTGCCGGACGCGCACAATGCACGTGGCACAATGACGACGGCGGTGTCCAATCAGCTAAAGGGTCCTCCGGCCCCCGGTCAACATACGGTACCCACCGTCATCACAAAACGGGACCATCGAACATGACGGTTTTGCTGTAGTGTAGGTAGGTACGCACTGGTCCTGCTTCGACTCTGGGCAGCGGTGAGCGGTCTGCACCGCGACGGCTGCGAGAGGGCCGGGGGAAATCTAATGCTGACGTGGTGATCCGGGTAGACTCAGATTTCAAAAGATAGAAGAGTGCTCACGTGCGGAGTGACAGATGTCATTTTGCAAGCCGCGGAGAGATGAAAACGCTCTCCTTGGCTCAGGAGTGTCCTGCTCTGCAGGCCAATCAGAATGCAGGAAACAGAGAATGAAGATCAATTACCGAGCTCTGATTGGCTCAATCTGCGTGGCGCAGGTCAACCGAATCTTTCCGGAACGGTTTCTCCCAGGCGGATGTGCCCGCGCGACTCTTCACTTCTCGCTTTTGGCAGCCCTTCCCGCGCCACAAGTTTTGGACTTTGCTTTCTGAGGTGCCGTATCACCGTATCCACTGGAGTCAACCTGCGTGCAGAAAAAGATCTCCTCCCCAAAAGCGCAGGGAAAAGGGAAGTGGACCGTCGAAAATGAGAGAGTGATTTTGCGGGATGGGAGTCTTCGACGCTGAAAGTGCCGCCTTTCTGGTTGAGGGTGGAAAGCTTGTGGTCCAGCAACGCACGAGAGCTTTCCAGCCTGTTTCCTGCTTTGGCAGTCTGCAGGGCAGTTGCAAAGTACGTACTCCGAAGAGGGAAAGTTTTGAAGCGCCAGGGCGGACAGGTAGCGACGAAAAGCGACGAAAAGGGAGGTGCTAAGGACTGCTTTAGCAGCCATCACGCAAGCCCGAAGCGTGCACATGAGGCGTAGGGTGTGCAGAAGGAGCCACGCCAAGATTGGCCGCCAAAGTGGAGCCGTTTGATGACGTCAGGTCTAGGCCGCAACCCCCGGGAGAATGGGTCTCCTGGGAAAGAGCAGGAGCAGGGGTCCGAACATGTTTCTCATGCCGCGGCAGTGGCAACTATCAGCATGGATCCCACTGCTGCGGAGGCAACAGATGACGGGACAGGAGAGGATCAGAGGCATCAGACAGGGGCGGTTGATGGACCTAGCAGTAGTAGCGATAACAACAGGATTGTGGCAGAGCCTCAGCAGTCTGGTCAGAAGGGGAGTATTCATGCCGCTGACCGTGTGAGGGGTGGAGATGCAGGGGTTAGCACTCTAAAGGTGAGGGGGAGTCAATTTTGCTAGAGCAGTTGCATTTGAGCAGGATTTCTTTCTTCTCCGTGTCCCAGAAGAGTCTGCGCGACATACACTGTTCTGGCAATAAGCAGGATCACGCTCTGACTGCTTAGCAGAGTTGCAGTTGTTCTTGACAAGTGCCTGCAGATACCGGCACAAGTTAAGCTGGTCTCCGCAGCCTAGTCGTTTTGCATGAACCTCAAAACTTGCATTGAATGCATATCTTCTTCAAGCGGGGTTGTGCCTATCACTTCCAAAGATTAGAGGGGCTTGCTTTAAAATGTTAGCCTGTGCACCTCAGAAATGACAGGGAAGCAACAGCAAGGAGTCATGCGAAGCTGAGTGTAGCATAGGATTTTCCCAGAACACCAGATTGGGAGGATAGCCACTAGCTGAGACCCCCATCACTTACATTCAAAGACGAGAGCTTGACAGAACATACATCAAAGGGCAGCTGCTAAGGATCACTATTTGTTGAGGAGATACTGAGCAACCTGGGGTTACGCAATATGCAGAAGCTTCTTGTCACTTACATATAGCCTGAATCAGTAGATGCAAAAAGGCACCCCCCCTGAACCCTTGTAAACGAGGAGAGACAGTAATGAAGTAAGTTACAAGAACATGGGGGAAGTTTCCGCAGCTTAGAACATCAATGTCCAAGCAGGGAAACTGTCAAGAATCTGATCCAAGGCTCAGCTTGTGAATGTGTTGGCAGCATCTTAATTTGAGAGCTCAAGCATCAGGGATGAAACAAGTTGAGTTGTCTGTGCGAGCATACGAAGCACAGCCTCCAATGGAACAGATGCAACGCAAGTAATGGATCCCCTAGGCCAGCAGAGCAGCCTTTGATAGACTCTCAAGAGTTGTATGAAGCGTTGACAAGCAGAGCAAGTACTGGGTTTGGAAGGATTGAGTTGTGTTCACAAGTTGGTATTGCATGATCGCATGAGAGCAGAAACCTTTGAACAAAGCATTATCAGACGTCCCATAGGCAAGCTACAGTAGGTCTCATTGGCTGAGCCCCTTATGAACGTACCCCCATATAGGCAGGCCAGAATAGGGCAGCTCTTATATCCCCCTTCCAAAAATAGGGCAGCTCCCTTATCCCCCCCCCAAACTAGAGGCATGCTCATGGGCAGACTGAACCCCCTGTGCAGGTTAGGCCAGGCTTTGGCTCTTGCCGCTGCCGCTGCCCCCCCCCTCTGACCCCCCCTTGCGCTTCTCTTGACGCCTCTGCTTGCCTGTTCCCCCAGGACCAGGAGGGGGACAACAGCCGCAACGCCTCGGGGGAGCTCGGTAGCTCGTCTGGCAGCAACAGCCTCGACGATGGCAACTGCAGCAATACTGCGGAGGGGGGGAAGGAGCAGCAGGATGGGAGCAGCAAGCAGGCTGAGAAGCAGCCCCCCCTGCAGGGTCAGAAGTTGCAGCAGGCGCCAGGGCCATCCCCCAAGTCCCTGGGGTGCGGTAGTGAGAATCGGCAGAAGGGGGGCAAAGGGGGGGGTAACACGAAGGGGGGGGAAGAGGAGGAGAAGGAAGTGCAGGGGAAAGAGGAGCAGGGGGCGGGGGATCAGGAGGAGGGGGGGCGGCCGGTGTTAAAGAAGCCAGACAAATTGGAGCCCTGCCCGCGCTGCGACAGCTATGACACCAAATTTTGCTACTACAACAATTACAACATCAAGCAGCCACGCCACTTCTGCAAGAACTGCCAAAGGTGAGGGGAGACGCTGATTGAGTTTTCTGAGCTCCTTTTGAGTCACATTGTGCATTGGAGCTAGGTTTGTGCTCCAAGGCTTTGATTCCTGGATGATGGGATTCTGTGTGCTCTGCTTGATTTGCCAACTATCGCATAAACAGTCTGCTTCTAGTCTCTTGAAGCAGTAGGCAACTCCCTTCCTCAGTTGATCCCCCATTCTTGGCTCCATTCTGCATTGGTTGCCAAACTTAGGACTCTGGTCACAAGAGCTGCCATCTGATCATCTGCAATCCTACTTTCGAGTAGACGAGTCCCTCTCTGTACAAATTTGTACAGACAGTTTAGAATCATCTTTTGAAACCCTGCCTGATCACATGCAGATGGCAGAACACAGGGTCCTCTACAACCCATGTTCTTAGGTCAAGTTTTCATCTTTTGGGCACACATTTTGACCTTTGTCTCATCTGGGTATGCAACTCTCCATTTCAACCCTTATGCTTCAAACCTGAGAAAACCTCAATGAGCTTCTTTTTCACTCAAATCAGTTCCTCAACCTTTGCTTAACCCAGTTTCTCCATCCCCCCCCAGGTACTGGACTGCCGGCGGCACTCTCCGCAACGTCCCGGTCGGCGCTGGCCGCCGCAAGAACAAGCACAAGTCCATCCAACGCCTCGGCCCCGGATCAGGCTCCGACTCAGAGCTCGTCATCCCGTCTTCTTCCGGTGGCGAGGACTACCTCGTGCGCAGCGGAAGCCTGCGCTCCTCCAATCCCTCCCTCAACGCCACCACCTTCAAGCCCCCCGCCTCGCAAGGCTTCCAGGGCCGCTTTGTGACGTCATCCAACCCGCCTCTCTACGATTCCGGCACCAACGACAAGAGCGGCGTCACGCACAAGCGCGACGGGACCTCCGCCGACGAGATGCAGTCCGGGGATCAGTTCCGGGGACCGCACTACGGGGGGGCGGCTGAGGCAGGGCCGGAGGCAGACCCCCGGCGCGCGAAGCGTGTCAAGCGGAACCCCCCCCCCGAGACGGGGGTGCCCGTTGGTCGGTTCGGTCGGGGCTTCAGAGAGAACTCGGAGTGCATGTCGAGCCAGGCCGACAACCGTGACGGGGGGGCGTTTGTGGCGGACGCGATGATGTCACCCGAGAGCGCCAAGAACGCGCAGTGGCCGGCGCGTGCGGGGGAGGCGTTTGGAGGGCCGGTTACGGGATGGAATCAGGGGGCGGCTGTGCCGGCCACTCCTACTGGGGGGGCCTGGGCGCCAGGCAACACCGCCCCTTGGGGGGGGATGTGGAACCAACCCTGGCCTTACCAGATGCCGATGGGCCAACGTGGAACGGAGGCGGGGGGGGACGACGAACGTGAGTAGGCGTAAGTCGTAGGGAGGCGTAAAGGCGACGACGAACGGGGATACGGGATGAG